TAAAGACCTGAAGGTGTTTTGATAGCTGAAGTAATCAGATTCTTTTGTGTAGGTGGAATACCTAGACTGAATTCCTACCTCCTATTTCAAGCTCTACGCCAGTCCTGTAACTGTATGTATTTAGAAATCAGATCTCTTGACTTCGCCCTCCTTCTTGCCATGTCTGCTTCTCGAGTATTTTTTGTTTGTTTGATTTGTTTTATTTTAAGAAAAGCATAATAAATAAAATTACAGCTTCACCCAGAAAAATAAAACCAGCACCTTGCACAAAATAAAGTATGACCAGTTAATTTTAGGAATGATGATGACCTGAAATCTTTTCTACCCTTCAGGTTAAACTATTTGTGACTGTGTTAAAACTTCTTGGCCAACACATTACTACCTATACAAGGCAAACTCGCACAGTTATTAATGTTTTCAAGATATTTAATGAACTTGCACTCCAGCTGCAGTATCTTACACAAACTGTGCTCAAGTGACCTTAAACCATCATTATGGTCCCAAATGACTGTGTTCATCCATGGCTCTGTGCCATTTGCATTCAGAATGCAACTGTCCTTCCCTCTCTTCTTCGCCTGTACAAACTAGGATTCAAGCACAGCTGAAATGCCAACCCTTCTGTAAGCCTTACTGCCCTCCTTTATTCTGAATGCACAGCATATTTTAAGAAATATTACAGTAATAATGATTATTTGCCTATTTCCATACCTATTCCTAGACCCTAAAAACTCCTAGAGGGCAGAGCTTTGGCTTACTCATCCTTTTTATGCCTTTGCTAAGAAAAGGGACTGGTTTAACACAAACTTTCAATAAATGTTCCATTCCCCTTGTTTGAATTATGTGGTCGTGAAAAAGACTATTCTCTTATGTCCTCCCCCAGCAAAAGGATTTTTAAGAGGTCAAGACTAGCAGTTTTTAAAAGGACTGCAAGTACAATTCAGGAATGCAGCTGCACTGCCGTTGGCTGGAGGCAGTTTGGGGATATCATCTTTTATGGTAGCTGGTGACTTCAGATTGTGTAACTCTTCAACTGTCCTGGTGTATCACTTGCAGAAAGCATTACAGCAATAGATATTGAATCCCATTTCTGTTGATAGGCAGTCACAGGAACAAGCAGAATTCAAGCAGGAATTTATGACTCTTAAAATTACAAAAGAGACTCATGGACTCCAGTCCATGAAACAGAATGCAGAAGCTGAAGTTTTAGTTATATCTGTTGGACCAGCATACAAGATGAACTTGGTTACATTCTAACTTGAATGATGAATACTGCATTGTCAAAACAGAGGAGATTACCTGTAAATTAAAATGGCACTGATTTGTGGAACGTAATTTAAGAGATTAAAACAGTTAAAAATGACAGAGATTTTGTTGTGTTGATTATCTCCTCTCTTTCAGTCAGCATGACAGGGAGAATTAATATGAATGACTGCTATTATGGGAAATACAAGATTCGTTATTTTGAAGTGAAAAGTGACATTATTTTCTCACATAGTTTTAAAAAGTTATTCAATAAACAATCAGAAGATCGCTTAACAAGTTGAGATATGGAAACTGGCAGATTTGGGCAAAACATTGCTCTCATTTATATATTGTAGTATTTGACTAATCTCTTTACTGACTGTATTAAAAAAATTGAGGACACTCATGGGAAATAAACTTTATAAAGCTCATCCACACTATAATATCAATGACAGGCAAGTATAAGGTCTGTCTCCCTCATAAAATTAGGTCTGCTGAAGAGATACTGCATATCTGAAAAACAGCAAGAAAAATTCTTAATAAGACATTCAGCTCTAGATAAAGCATTCCTACTTCTGTAGGAGGCAGACGAACAGGAACCTTTCAGAGGCTAAACTTATCCTCTCCTCTCCAATGTCCTTGGGGGTGATTCCATTTTAGATTTCAGAGATAAATCGTTGTCTGAGGAGTGCAGTGTGCGTCCAAGCCATGAGGCATTGCACTAGAATGATCTAGCTCAACTTGGTTAGGTCTAGGAGGCCAGGGGGCTTTTAAGAATGTAAATTTTCTGGCTTAGTTTATACTTCAGAAGCATTAAACATTAGATTCAGTAGTGTCAGAATCTCTTCCTTTCAAAATAATCCTGAATTAATTCTCATTCTATGAAGTTCACCATATCTGTTTCAGTTAGATAAACTTATCTCCAATGCTTAACTTAGTTCTTTCTACGCAGAACAAATTAACTGCTTATGAAATAATTACGAATAAATGGATGAAGGGGAGGTTAGAAGCAGAGATTGTTTTTCCTAGATAGATGGAGAATAGAACTCCTTCCTCTACCGCATCATCACCTTGACAGTTTTGTATGGAAGAAATGGTGAAAAAAAAAAAGACTAAAAAGAACTTTACAAATAAATGGGGCAAGAATATTCTATAAAGCTACACTGTCCAATTATGCACAAGAATTAAACTTAGGTCATAAGCTTGAAACTAAAGTAAATGGGTTAATTCAAAAATAACTCTGGTTGGAGATGTAGATCAGATATTGTGACATTTACTTAATTGAGATAATTCAGTGAAAACAAAGTTATACCATTTTGAAGAGTCAAAATTGAACTGAACAAATTAACAGATTCCGTAGGAGTCTAAAAACTACACAAAGACAGGGCTGGCCTAGCAACCGTTTGTGGGATATGGTCTGTTCAAGAACTTCCAGTGCCTTTGTGGTAATCAAATTCAGAAATGTGAGGCCAGGTGATGCTCTATCTCCTCATGGCTTCCAAGGGGAAAGAGAAAGATGGGCTACGTGGAAGCATGGCAGTTGTGGCAGACCTCTTTTATCTCACTAATGAAGACGTTTGTTTAAAAGAGATGAAAGATATATATATCCCTCTTATTATATATGTAAGATATATATAAACCCTCTCATTATACCAAGTAGTTCTCCAATATCAATTTCATTCATCTTATGTGTGTGTGTGTGTGTGTGTGTGTTTGTGTGTGTATGTGTGTGTGTTTACTTATGGGGGGATACTTTACCATTTTTTCCAAATATGTAGTATTTGCTTTGATACATTTTGAAGAATCATAAACATTATTTCCAGTAATATGCCTTTTTTATTGTGTCTAGTAGAAATTCTCTGAGTGCTGAATCACAACTTCAAGGTCAAAGAGTTATAAAAAGAAAAAATCCAATCAGATGGGAAAACTGAGAGCATTAAATGTCTGTTGATTCTGCTTAGGCTTTCCTTTCATTCATTCTTTCCAGCCAGATAACATTGTGGTAACACAGAATAAACCTAAATATTTTATTATACCTAAACAAAATTAAAGAAGTGATGGATGAAGTGGTAGACCATGGTAGTCTTCTCCTATCTTCAATTAACAGGCTGCTTAACGAGTCTATCGAAAGAATACTATCACATCTAAGAAAACACCTTAGCATTAGCTACTTCCTGCATAAAAAGTTTGTACTCCCAAAAGTTTTCACTGCTTTCCACTTGGTGTTACAGTCCTTTCTAATTTCCGCTGGTATAAATCAATTAAGATTTATTAGCTTCATATAAAGGAACTCCAGTAAGTTTTTAATAATAATTATCATTATCACTGATTAAAGTTATATTGTTCAGGCCAGATGGAGTCTTTTTCCTGTCAGCTACAATGAGCTTGCATTATGTAGTTATAATGTGTTTAGATCTCAATAAACAGATGGTACGGTGACAGGATATGATACACTGGTGATGTCAGCAACAATGCTTCAAACAGAATTGCTTTAAATAGTCTCTATTACAGCAAGGATCCCAACACATTTAAGTTGGCTGTAATTGAGTCCTAGCATTGTTTTAATTTAGAAAAAGTATGAGATGCATCTAAAAGTTTCATAGAAAATAAAATTTACTGGTAAATTAATTTTGGTAGAAGAAATACCTTGCATATGGAATTCTTCATAATTCTCGAAACTGCATATTATGAGTGGACCTATGAAATTAAAGAATAAAATCATTTCCCATGATTTCTTCTAACAGTCTTTTGGCTGATTCCTTATGGAATTTCTCTCTCTGGAGCATTGATCAAGGCCTGTACCCACATATACCCACAGTAGATGCAATATTTTACCACTACAGGGGGTAAAGTTTGATTCCTGAAAGTACAGAATGTATCAGTAACATTTTTAGAAAAAAAATACTAAATAGGTAAAAATAAAGCTTTCAAAAAATTAAACGTTTTAAAGATTTACTTGGGTATTTGAAAGAGTGATAGAGAGAGCTTAGAGTGGGAGAGGAAGAGTGAGAGAGAGACATATTCTCTGGTTCATTCCTCAGACGGTCATAAGCCTCACTGATGTCTCCCACATGTGTGGCAGTGACCCAAACGTTTGGGCAATTTTCCACTGCTTTTTCTAGTCTCTTAGCAGGGAGATAGAGTCCATTGCCCAGTTAATTCCCCAATGCCTATAACAGCACTGCTGGCCCAGCACAAATCCAGGAGCCTGGATTTCTATGAAGACGGACAGGGACAAAGGAATGAGCCATCACCTGCTGCCTATTAGTGTTTCCATTTGTAGAAAGCTGCACTGGAATTACAGTAACTGGGACTTGAATCCAGGCACTCTGGGGATGTCTCCAGTAGCTAATTAACTACTGCAAACGTACCTGCTCTTTAATTTTCAGTAACTGTTAGTTTCTATGATCTGTGAGCTTTGGAAATTATGACCATAAAAGTGTTCAGTAGTCAAAGTGAATTTATTTAAAATAATGGCTTACATATTTCTGAGAAGGGACACATATTTCATTTATTGAATTTTCTAATAAAATATTGAGAGGAGTTTTGAGTACCAAATTATCCCTATATTTGACATATTTTGAACATTTAGGTTTTGCCGCTTTAAGCGAGCATGTTACAGGCTATGAGTCAAGCCTAACACAACATAAAAGTCCTTATAAAGGAGCAAGAATATTTCATTTGAGGATTTACCACCAGTCAAAAAGTATAAGGTTATAATGTGCGTTACCTTTTCTGTTCTCTTTCCTCTTCTCCAGGTGGGCGTTGTCATAAATCCTGTACTGGCCGATGCTGGGGACCCACAGAACATCACTGCCAGACTTGTAAGTATTCAAGTGAGAAAGTGTGGGTTTGAAGTGGCCAAGGAATCTTAATAATTGATTTTTTTAATATATCTGGTCATCTGACACATCAAAATGAGATTTTTACCTCTTTCTGATAGATTCACTTCCTCCCAAGAAAGCTGCCTCATATTATTGCTTTCAAATGACACATAATACGTAATTGCTTCTTCTATTTCTTTGTGGTTTCTAGATTAATAATCTCAACAGCACAGCTGTGGTGATAGTGGCTCTGACTTCAATGTCTGTGCATCACTAGGTGTAGGAAATCCAAATGTGTGCAAAATAATAATGACTCAATTTCACATCAACTGGGTATCTCAGTGCCTTTCCCAAGTGGTAATATCACCATTCATTAGGAAAAGAAGGGATGCTGTGTCCTTCTCTATACAAGGCAGGTTCAATTCTAGGTACAAGGATGGCCAGTATGTGAGTTACGGGCATAAATTCACATTTTTCAATGATGCAACTTGCCCTTAATGTGTATTGTCTCTTGAACTAAGTGTGAAGTTAATTTGACACACATTTTGGTAAAATATTTTAAAACTAGAGTTTGTTTCAATGAAAGAAATACGAAATAATAGCTTTATTGTTAGCTGCTAAAGAAAATATGTGTATGAAAAGGTGTGTGCCCAGTAATCGATGATACCACTAATTTTTTTCTAAATTCATGGATTTTGTCATTTTCAAAATTCATAAAACATAAAAGAACATAATGCTCCCGTGGCTTACCTTTGTCCCTCAGCCATCCATAGTCAGCAATCCAATTGGTTATTGTGGTATATTCTTTGAAAGAAAATAGATGGGTACCTAAAGAAATGTGGATATGTCACCCTCAATTATTCTACTGAAATGTTAGTATGCTCAGCATGTTGTGCCACAGTTTCTTTGATTTTTTTTCAATGAAGATTTATGAATATGAATTATTTGTAGTATGAATTCCTAGACACAGAATTCATAGGATGATAAACAAGTGTATCTGCTATTCATTTGTAATGAGAATTGACTACCAGAGACTCAGTAGCCACTTGCGGTAAGGGAGTAACCCTCTGTGTACTCTAGGGGGGACCAACCTGGATCCATTAGTCATGGCTGGGCCTGGTGGACTGTTTCCAGTGACCTGAGCTATGTTTAACACTTTTGGGTCAAGCGAGTGGGGATACTCCACTTTTGGGTCAAACACTGTGGTGAGCTTTGGTGCTATTGCAGTGCTGGGGACTTGAGTCTTTACAGCAGCATTTCTTTATTTCCCTTCTTACCCTGGGCATTCTTCTCTTTATCTGACTCTGCTGGTCCTGTGAAACCTGCTTGCTTGCTGCCTGATCACGGTGTCCTGCATGTGAGCTTGGTTTTTATCCACGTCCAGGCTGCTTTCCACTTCACATAGAGCTCACTCGCCTGCAGCTGTTCTCCCACCCAGGTTGTGATAATTGTCCCTGCCAGCGGCGTGTCTGAATGCCTGTCTCTGTCTCCTGGAAGGAAGAATGCATTCTCAAAGTTTGGGACCTTTATAAAAGAGTTAAAGGGAAATAGTATTTCAGAGTAAATTTTAATTAACTGATTTAATGGAACTAATGTTTTAATGGCAGTAATGTTTTGACAGAGATTTTATGCAGAATTCTAAAGTAAGCTTGTATAACTAACTGCATTGGATTCATTCACCACACTGTTTGGAGACATGATTTCAGTATCAAAGAAGTTCATACGGTAGACAGTACTTGTAGACGATACAAAGATGACATTGATGTGCAAGCTTGCAAGAATTCTAGATCTCTGAAATAAAGAATAATTCTTGTAAGGCTGTGAGACAAGGGGACACACAACCATGGCAATCACTAAAGTGTTAGGACATCCACTAGTTAATTCATGGCAAAGAAATTGTGAGGTGTCAAACTTGAAATAGAATTTTTTACTCAGTAACTTTCTACTTACTTTATTTTATGAAGAGATCAAAGAGGCTTCCTGGAGGGCTACTCTTGGCAGCCACTTCGGTGGGATGGTGGAATCTAAGCCACACCCCCTTTCATTCCCCTGGGAACTGAGGGATTCAAGTTAGATACAGGGCAGTGGATGTGTTTGTGTTTGGGAAATGCTGGGGCAGGTCTCTTTTTTTCTGAGGGGTGGAGGGTTATATGAAGCCCTATGGCTGTGTTATTACTTTAGGACTTTGTCCAAACCCAAGCTGACCTCTCAGCACTATTTAGAGTTCTCTTTTATGTGCCTCTTGCAAGTATTTCCAAGGTTGATTGTAGAACTGAGCTGGCAAGGATGAACAAATCTGTGCCACCTTTTCCAAACCAGAAATCCTATATTGTCCTTTTACTAATATACTGTTAGTAAAGAAAACTACCCTGTTAATTTTGTCATGTGTCTCATCCTTTATGTGCTTTTGTAGAAAACAAATTTCAGTGTGAAGTTGCATATGTGTATGTTTTCACTTCAAGTTGGGTTGGAAATTCAACCTTTACCCCCATTTTATCTTAATGCAGTGATTTCTGCACTAAAAAAAATAGGAAAAAAATAAATGGATTTTCCTCAATTTGAATTGAAAGTTAAATTTCCCTTCAATTCATATGGTACTCACAGTTCTGAAAGTTTTAATTCATGCTGGCCCAAACTTGCAATGCCATGATTTCCACCAATGTTTCTTACTGTTTTATCAGACAGCTTTGAGGACAGTAGGTAGTTCTCCGAGAGCCACCCCCGTGGACAGATTCAGTTGCTGAACCTTGGTTCTCTGCAACGCTCCGCGCGTGGTTACTGGGCAGTGTTTTCAGCTGTGGGTGATTTTCACCTGGTGGGGATATTTGATAGTTTCTGAGCATTTTTGTTTATCACCAGATAGGGAAGAAACACTGGCAATAACAATACTGTGAAACATCCTGTGATGCAAGAGAGAACCTTTCCCACTCCCTCCATCCTCCCAATGAGGGACTTTTCGCTGCAAAATGTTAACAGTGTTAAGCATTGAGTAGATAATTGGTTAAGGCTGAACCAATCAGAGGTTTCCCTAGAAAAATTAGAATCGGGATCCAGGTAACGCTTTCATTACCTTAGAAACACGAACCTGAAGAGGTGTGAATCTAACTTAGGTTTCCATTTTTAAAGCATTTGTGTGAAGTAAGGTCATCAGGCACTCTGAAGAATCAGGCAGCTGTGCAGTTAGAGGGCAGGGGAGCAGTGTGGGCCCCAGGTCCAGTGCACTGCTCTCCTCCTGGACCTCCTCCACCTGCATTTGAATGGGATTTCATTGAATGGGATTTGTCACACAGGAGGATGGTAGGGTCTGCGACTGAGTTCACCCAGCCAGAGTTCACGTATCAAATCATCAGATTGAACATCTTTAAGTGTATCTAATTTTTAAGCCTATAAATTATCATCGCTTAAAATTGGGTTTCTGGTCACTGCCCTTATCATACTGAATTTCGCAAATCTAAAATCAGGGAACATGTATATGTATCTAACACTTGATTGCACACATATAAATTTGACGAAAATACATTTTAACGTTGAGCTTTAGAGTGTTTTTAAAATATTTTAAAATTCATTTTTACAGCAGTCCTGAAAGTTAAAGTGAAACGTTAGAAACCTTATTTTATGTTTTGAGGAAATTTGAGCTGAGAAAATGAACAAAGGATTTGTTAAACTAACTCAGTTTGTACCTCAGATTTTAACCTAATGGCTCCAAATCCCAAGACAATAGTGTTTCCTACATAGCACATGAAACTGTTTGATTGTAGAGGTTATTGGATATGACATTATCTGCACAACACAAATCCCAGTTAATTCCACTTCCTAACATGAGAAAATGACTTCGTTTTTCTAAATAATGGTTACCAATCTCCAAAATTGAGATAATAACTACACTTAACTTAGATGCCTTCTTTTGTTCTTGATGAAGCTCAATTCAGCAGTTCAGTTCAAATGCTTAAATACTTTGGTTATATAGTAATAATACCATACATTTTAACTGATATTATAATCAATTTCCAGAAGAGTTCATTCATTTTCAGCCTGAGATAATGAACACAGAGGTATCCAATGAACTCTCATGACACCTGCTGGCTGGAGAATGAGGAAGAGGCAACGTGCCCTTGACATTTGCTCTTGTATGCTCTCTCCTTGTCTGAGCTACTGAAAGATACTTGTTCATACTTAAAAGAGCTCAGAATCCTGTGACCAACTTTATTTAGGAATGAATCAAAGACCCGACTTTTAGAATTACAATCTTTTTATTAGAGAATGAGACCTTGAGAGATTCCATAATGTTACTAGATGTTCAAAGATGCCCTAGAGCTATGATATACATAATCAAAACCTGTTTATGTGCAACTTCCCAGGCTTCCCTTTAGATTTCTAATGGCTCTTTTATTAACTGAAATGCATTTATTACAGTTAGGCATCTTTTAAAGGCATTTACAGCTGAACCCAGACTCAACTTATTAAACATAAGAAAATATGCCATCGAAGTTTTCAACAATTTTGGGGTTTTTTGCTTTTGTTGACTGGCCTTGTAAAAGTTCACTTTAGTGTCTGAAAGACATAGTTTTACATTATTTAGAAAATATTTCTTTCCTTGGTGACTCAAATAGTTCCCCAGTGAGGGTTCTTCTGGAGGTATGCAACTTAATGATTTGCCATACATTTACTTCTATTTTGTGAATATTTTTCCTTTGAAACTTTCTCTGTGTTAGGGAAGCAAAGAAACATTAATAAAGAGCTGCCACCTCAGCAAAGTAGCTGCAGTTAAAATCTGTTTCTTGTGGCCATTGCTGTGGTGTATACTGGGGCTTCTACTTGAAGTGCTGGCATCATGTACAGGTGCAAATTCCAGTCCTGGTTGCTGTGGTTCCAAACCAGTTCCCTGCAAATGTGCCTGTGAAATCAATGAAGGATAGCCCAAATGCTCTGGGGAAGACTTCTGGCTTTGACCTAGCCTAGCCCCAGTCTTTGTGGTTATTTGGGGAGTGAGGCAGAATATG